CGGGCTCAATCCCCAGTGGGGGGCGTGCAGGAGGCAGCCAATCAATGGTTCTCTCTCATCATTGATGTTTCTATCTCCCTCTCCCTTCCTGTCTAAAATCAATAAAATATATTTTTAAAAATATTAAAAAAAACAAAACAAAGAAGAGTAAACTGTAAGGAAAAACGTCTCAGAACACTAAGGCTGGCAGGGAGGTGGGAGGGGCCTGCAGACAGGGAAGCAGGGAGGCCGCAGCCCAGGGAAGGCGCCGGGTGGGCAGGCCCACTCCTCTTCGGTGAGAAACTAAAACCACCGCGTCCAAGAGCCCAGCCACCAGGTGCTGTGGTCAATTCAGCTGGTGGACACTGCTCAGCAGTCAGGGCACAGCCCAGGATGCTTCTTGATGTGCCCTGACCGGGGAACGAACTCACAACTTTGTTGTATCAGGACTATGCTCTAACCAACTGAGCTACCCGGCCAGAGCCAATGCTGGTTTAATTTTTTCAGAATGTTTTTGCCTTGCCCTGAGCTAAGACCAAAGGCACAGATGAAGACACCCCCACCCCCACCCCAGGAGACAGCTGCTGCCCACAACCCCTGGGCCTTCTGGCTTAGAGTGGCCTCTCCCACCTGTTGTGTGCAGAGGGGACACACTCATGGAAGCAGAGCTGGCAACTCTTATCTCAGGGACAAGGCCACAGGCACAAGGTGGTTTCAGTGCAGGGACAGCTCCCCCTGCCATCAGTGGTGGGAGGATGGGCCTCTCCTGGGAGGAGGACTGGGTAACCACCGACGTGGGGACAGATGACCCAGGGGGGACAGTGGTGTCCAGGAGTGAGGACCCGAGTTTTGGCCACAGGGATGTCCCGGTGGGGCAGGCCTCTGAGTGGCCAGGTCCAAAGGTGGGCATGAATGGAGCTGCCCAAGGTCAGCACAGAGCACTGGCACAGCTGAGAGGGAGAGAGGGCCCCGTTCCAAACACTGGCAGCCGCTCATGCAGCTGGGTGGTCACTGACGGGCGTGGAAGGCGTGGAGCTGATGTCTCCAGGGGGGACGACAGTGCGGGCGCCCCCGGCCTGCCGGCACACGCCCTCCGAGGGCTGCAGAGCCCATCCCAGCTGCCCTGGGCCCAGGGCTCTCAGAGCTCCCATTTCTTTTTCACTCCAGTCTCAGCATTTAGAAAGCGGAGGGGAAGGACATCCGAGCCACACGTGAAGCAGGCAGGTGGGCGTGGCTTCCCCGCCCCCAGGGGACCGAGGAGGGGTCCCCAAGGTCGGCTGGCCCTCAGGCCAAGACCCCCCAACAGGGACAACTAAATAAGACATGCCTGGTCTGCAGTGAAAACATTTATTTTACAACAGTTATCTTTATTCTAGGTCAACATTCAGACATACAAGATGGAGGTCACTGTGGGGAAACATCCTAGCCCTCCCGCCTGGCCCTGGGTGTGCCCGTGGGGACAGGGCCTGAGGCGCCCCAGCTCCACCAGGCTCCACTCACAGGACAAAGCCAGTGCGGACAATGCTTCCCACGCATTGCACTTCAGTTTTAAAAAACAACGTCAACATATTTCAGTGCAAACTGCCTCCCCTCACTTAGCGTGAAACATGAGTCCATTTTCCAGGGAAACAAAATCAAAGGTGTGCCTAGGACCAGGCCGCCCCTCCTGGCGCGGGGGCAGCACGGCCCTGCTCCTCCCCGCGACCCCCGGCCCAATTTGTGGTCCCAACAGAGACTGTTTAGAATGCAGTTGGTCACTGATTGTATCTGATGCTTAGAAAATTGGTTTTAAATGTTCCGAAGTGGAATGGGTTTCTACCACCTCCCAGATGTCACACAGGGACATTCACCTGTGGTTCAGGTGATCATGATGGGCACCCTACCCCGGGTAAGCGGACACTGCAGTGGGCTCAGGCACCACGCCCAGCCATCCGCCCAAACTCTAGGTACACGGCGGCATCAGCGCTGTTTCCTGAGCAGCCAGCAGAAGAGCTCTCAGGACCCCCTCCTGCCCGGACTCGTCAAGAAACAGGCTGTGTTGGAGCCAACTTTTATTGTACTTGCTGCGTTGCCACTGGACAGCAGCAGCCAGCCCTGCTGCGCGATATATACATATACACATATGTACACACACGGAGATGCACCACTGCCCACACCTGCAGCACAGACTAACCGTGCCTGTCAGGACTGTAAAGATGCAGCTTTGGCTAATTCCACAGGCGGAAGGTTCACAACCAAACTAACAAAGCAAGCAGGTCAGTCCTGTGTCGCATGGGCTCACAGCTGAGAACGTGAGGAAGGAATGAGGTCAGCCCCCTGCCTCACGCCCATCCCCACCGCCCCTGGGAGATGCACCAAGATGACAGCCAGAAAGGACAGACAGGCCCCCCCCGAGCCCGGTGGCTGGCAGCACTGTGTGGGCTCCTCAGGCACAGACCGCCCGCTAGAACATCGAGGATGGTCCTGGCAGGAGCCTGGCGGCGAAGCCCAGGCCGACAGCGTGAAGACACCGCCTGCTCTAACCACAGCCACTCTGACCTCTTCCTCTGCCAGGTCCCAGCGGTGCGGCTGCACTGACGGATGGGACAGTGGGGGAGGCTCACACACCGCGTGGTAATGTCTAAAGCAGTTTGAAACGAGAACAGAGCCAAAAGGAAGACAAGGCGAGACACATCACTGAGCAGAGCAGAAGCCTACACACCAGCAGCTGCCATCAGACACGCTTCCTGCAGGGCGCCCACTGCACTGGCTGCCCATCAGGCCAGCCCTGCCTTGGCAAGTCGGATGGGCTTCCTCTGACACAGACCCCAACACCCCCGGGCCACACACACTACCTGCCGTCTGACACCAGCACTGGCCACACCTGGCCCAGCTCTGGAAGGCACAGGGTTGCCCCCCACTTAGCATTCGAACCAGTGCCTCTCCAGGCGCAAGAACTCTGCTCACCAAAAACAGACCAGGCAGAAGAGGGAAACGCACCGGGACCTTCGTCTTGAAAGCGACCACAGGAACACTCGGAAGGGGCCTGCCCTCAGGGCCGCCCACGGTCCTCAGCACCATCACCGCAATCTCGTTTTACAGATTCTGAGAGGCCTGCCGTCCTTCCCAAGCCACCCTGCCCCGAAGAGCAACACAACGCTGCCACCGCAGGCACCTGGCGGGGACTCAGTGACACACATGAAGGGCCTGGCTGGGTGGAGGTTTAAACCGGGTTCTTGGTCATTCTGGCGAAAGCAACTCATTTCCTAAATCACTTCCAGAAGCATCCCAAGGTGGCCAGGAGCTCAGGCTGAATCCCGGGCTTCGGAACCGGGGTCGGCACAGGAGATGGCCTGTTCTCGCCTCCTCCCTCGTTCCCCGGTGGGTCAAACAATGAGTTTCTTATCCTTTTAGGAGAGGCCTGGTTTTAGCAAATTAGTTCTAACTCAACATCACAGTGCAGGGATATCCTCTCATTGAACATCTTCATGATCACTACAATGAACAAAAAAACCACAATGGGACCAAGCAGCTGCCCAGGTCCTAGGCTGGCCTGCAGGAGGGCCAGCCGGGAGGGGCCCTAGGACTGAGGGTTCTGCAAGTGGACAGGCCCCCACACACAGCTCTAGCTAGCACAGCCTGGTGGGCAGCAAGGGCCACAGGGGAGAACAGTGGCTTCAGGAACATGTCTGGTTCGTCCGAGCCAGGGAACCATGTCGCCCAGCCTTCCCGAGCTTGTCCTTCCCTCTCCTGGGACACACAGGAGCAGCGAGAACATTCATTCTGCAGACACCAGGCCCACGTGGGGCCCTTGAGCCTCCAGAAGCTGAGTGTAGGGCCAGCAGGGAATCTGCTATTTGGTACATCGTAACTCACATTTCCTCAGTCCCCCGAAGCAGGGGCACCACCCACCAGGCCTGGGACAGAAGGAAGGACAGACTTCCAGCAGTTCACCAAAGGCTCTGCCCGCAACAGCAGTGAGATCCTGGTCTGGCAGCTGGCTAACAAGCCAAGGGCGCCAGGCTCCCCGGGCCCACGGCTCCCACGCCGAGTGTGCCTTTGATCCAGCAGGTCCTTCCCCAGGACCCTGATGCCTCTGCCTCTGGCTGAGGAGCAGCTGAAGGAAGAGGGTGGGCAGGGGCTCGGGAAGCAGAGAGGAGGCTGGGCAGCCAGACGCCACCTGCAGCCTGGACTCAGCCTGACTGACTGTCTGGGCCGCAGCTGCCACTGTGGTGCTTCGACATCCAAGATGGTTACAAAGAGGCCTGGTTTTAGCAAATTAGTTCTAACTCAACCTGGAGGAATGTGGAGGCTGACACAGAGCAGGGAGAGGGGAGACGCCGGTTGTGGCCATCGACCCAGCTCGTGGCACAGGGGACTCGGGCTAGACCCAGGCCGGGAGGAGGTCTCACATCAGGAGCTCCCAGTCCCCACAGCACACTCACCCTCGGAAAAGCCCCGCCACAAGGCCATGCACACGAGGTGAGCAGCAGCTGCACTAACTGTCCTTGCCACCAACACCCGGAACGTCACAGTGCGGAGAGGCCCTGCCCGCGGCCCCTCCTGGACCAGACCCACAGCCCTGCAGGCAGCACCTGCCGGTGCAGGAGCACAGAGAGGGCGGCCCCTCCCACCTGCTGGGGACACACCGCGTGG